GCCATGTGGTGGCTGTCGGGGCACTTGGGGGCTGTCGGTGACATTCCACCTATTCCACCACTTTTACTTCGAACTGGTCCACGTGCTCCGGAAAGATTTTCATACACCCAGGTTTCCACAGGCAGGTATCATACCATGCTTCTCCGAAGTGATGGCCACGCTGTTGCTTGTGGAAGTAATGATTCCGGCCGATGCAGCATTCCGCGATTGGCTTTGAACATGTCCTATTCGCAGGTTTCTGCAGGCCAAAATCACACCATGCTCCTCCGAAGTGATGGAAATGCTGTGGCTTGCGGTTGCAATGTCTTTGGACAGTGCAACATTCCACCCCTGGAGGAGGGGATTTACATGGATTTACTACGCCCAATTTCTGCAGGTGGGTTTCAAACAGTCCTGCTCCGAAGTGATGACCGTGTTGTTGCCTGCGGACGGAATCACTCTGGGCAATGTGCGATTCCCGTTCTGAAGCCCGAAAGTGTCTCTGTCGGCGATTGCATATCACTTGGGACAGACCTTGTCTTGCAACTGGGCGTCAAATATGTCGACAACAATGCGTTCACGTTGATTTGCTCCAGCTTGGCCGGAGAAGAGAAGTTGGGTTCGAAGGTGCGATACTCTGAATTGGCTATGGAGATGCAGAAGCGGATAGCAACGGCATTGAAAATCGGCATTTTTGGCCTCTCAAAGCTGCGAGTGGTGTTGCCAGATGGCCAGTTGTTGTCGTCAATCTATGATGAACATACCGGTGCCACCAGAAGGACCATCGGGCACGGTCTCAAGCCGCCGCTGCCACTCTCAGAACTTCTGATTGTTCAGCGGAAATGTCTTGCTATCACCGATAAGTTGGTTGGGTTATGTCATACCAGTCAATGTCGATTAATCTGACACTGCTGTGTTTCCTGAATTGAATACGTTTGGCGTGTGTACGGTTTAGGGAAGTATACGTAAACCACCATTCTCATCAACTGCCCGTGGCAGCACGGGGGTTCCATGAGCCCCATGAAAAAAATATACTGGCACTGGCAGGTTCAAATGCTCAAATGGAGTCATGCCTTTCCATCCATTTGGCATGTTTTTCTCAACAGCTGCAGATATGGATGTGTGTGTGTGTTTTGCTGCAGTGGCGAAAGGCCGCGAAAGCGCGGCGTACGAAAGGTCTGAATACCACTATTTCTAAATACGTATATATAAGTTATAGTATTCATGTTTGGCATTTTTCCTTGCACGATTTGCACACGCGCACATTGATTGGCATAAATTATAAAAGCCACCCTTGCATAAACATTAGTTTCTGAAATTTCATTTTTTAGACGAGAAATCCGCGAAAGGTCTGCGAAAGGTTCGTGAAAGGCGAATCCTCCCGGACCCAACCCTGGCCCAAAATGGGCTAGTTCTTTCTGCAATGTCGCAACTTCAAAAGCTTTTCAAAGAATGGGTGCAAAATCAATGTCCAGAAGGCAAATGTCCAAAAGAATGTTTTAAATACAATCCTCTTGTAAATCTGTGTGACGAAATTGCGCACGAAAACCTGATCATAATCCCATGTCCCGATTCTGCTGGGGTGCGAAAGGGCGCGAAAGGTTCGCGAAAGCGCGGCGTACCATAATTTTGGATAACCCCCATATATATCGTACATACAATATCTATGTTCTATAGATTTTACCTAGAAAACATGTCTACTATGTTCCACTAGATATTTTTCTAACTTCCAGATACATATCGTATCGTATATAGTGATTTAGGACCAGGCGGCACGACTTGTCGGTAGCCATGTGCCGATGATACACCGATGTTTGAGCGACAGCAAACAAACTCGCCATGAATGATGCTTAACTACGGAGAAGCCACTCAAACATAGTCTTCAATGTTGTTTTCGATTTCTCGTGAATCATTACAGAGTTTATGGATTCATACTATACTCATATTCATGTTTTTCATTGAATTTGGACGGTTACCATATATATTAGGCATTATCAGGCTATGGTTGGTGTCCATCTTTGTCGGTTTTTGCCAAATCTCGCAGCCGCGAGGACGCTTTGATGGAATGCGCAGCTGCAGGATGTCTTGCCAAGTCCACTGTGGGAGGTGCCTTCCCGGGATTCCCCTGGTTTGCTGGTCTATTAACAGCATTAAGTATGATCCGGGGGTGTCCATATCAATAGGATTGTCCATTATACAGACTATTAAATTGGGATCCCCCAATTTATGGAAACTCCCATATTATATAGTTGTAAGATGTTGTAAGTACCAAAGACCCCAAGTAATCGGAGTTGTAAACCAACTTAGCTAACTCTGCGGCACCACTTTGTAGGGGGATTGCTTGGTGAAGCAAAAAAAAATACTGGGACGATCAGAATATCCCAAGAGATGACAGGTTCACGGTTCACTTTTCAGGACCACCAAGGCGATCTGCTCATTTTTATTGGTTATGTATGCAATAATTATCATAATTATGAGCCAATTAAAAAACGGTTAACATAACCTACAGGAGGCTCCCAGTAATTTGCATATAAATGATGTTAAGTCATTATTTGATGTTCATTCTGAAGAGTCATTGTGTTGTTCACTGATCGGCCCGGTTTTGTTGGGTTATTTTGAGACGATCCCATGCCTGCTGCTGTGCTGCCACGAAAAGATACGAACTAATGATGGAACATACTCGGGGATTACTATCATCACGGAAACACCATGGGAAATACATCCAAAAAGGGTTCAGTGTAGCTACAAGGAAGAAGGTCTGAACCTGTTTTGGAAAATTGCTGTCAGAAACACCAGTGCCTTGTCAGTTTTCTTGTTCATAAATACCCGGCGTGAATCGGGGATTTTCGCTACGGTTCCTGGTACCTGATTTACGAATTCCAGATCAACCAGGCAGTTGCCTCGTTGTCATTGATGAATGCCAGGATGATATGTTGGTTCTGCTCATGCAATCCCATATCTCCCCACTGTTGATTCTATACTTGTCCACCGCTTGTTTTTGTTATCACTGACTTGAACGTACACTCCGGCAAGTGGAATCCCCATTGTTTGTTGTCATCACCAGGTTGGCCGGCTCAAGTTCCGAGTCATCATTGGGAAGTCTGAGAAGTGACATCCAGCTTTCATTGGTTGAGCCCACACTCAGTTTGCGAATGTTTGTGAGCCTTCCCGGTTTTGTTGTTAAAATTATGTGAACTCCTTTTTATTTGCCTTTTACTTGATACAGCAGGATGCCTATGAACCCACCAGTATCATGGGATGGGATAGGAGATTTTCCTTCCTCACATTTACAGTACTATTTTAGTATTATCTTAGTTTTGTTTCAGAGTTGTTGATAGGAAAGATATTTTGGACCTACCCACCCCCCCGCTCGTGACCCGTTATGATAGGTGGTAGCAGCTGCCTCGGCGCTTGCCTCGGAACAGCCGGGGTGCAGCGGTCGTGCGCAGAATGTCTGGGTGAAGGCCAGCCACCAGACCGAAAGAGGAGATGTGGGGAAAAGGCAAGGCCAGGTATTGAGGTTATCATTTAACATTGGTTTTCATAGTGATTTGTAATTACAGATAATTAGTTAACTAAACGAAAGCTATAAGAAAATAGTAGTTTATAAATTATAAATGGAAAACAATAGCCTGATTTGGTTAATAATTACTGGTGATTTATATGGGTATGAATGGAGTTACCATCTGGTAATCAAACGCGGCAGGCTGGAAAATCTTCCAACTCAATGGAGATTGATAGATTTGAAAATCATCCGTACGTTGTGGATTGTCCATTGCCACGTTTGATTAAGGGATGGTAAATAGTGGTATAATATACCTACACAAGTGGGAATACAATGGTGAGATTTGGTGAGGCTACTAATAAAGAACGGTGCTAAATACCATCCATCGCAATGATAAGGATTTAACGGGCATATCGCGGCATATCGTGAGATATAATGGACCGTAATGGGACATATACACTGTATATATAATATATATATATATAATGTATTTTAATTGTAATAAACAAGAGCGGGTTATGCAACCAGCAATCATGTGGGTCCATGGTCAAAAGATGGATAGATAGTATACCAATATTGGTGGATGGCCATCAATCCATTCGTAGGGATTCATTATATCCATGATGTGTTGGTTCTCTTGAAATGGGATCTATGACGGTAAAACCATGTACAATGTTTTCACCATGGAACAAATGGGTTTGACTGAACATAGTTTACTGCAAAATGTGATGGGGTTATGATCAACATCCTTATTAAATGGCCAGTGTATGGCCAAATACGTAGATAGATAGATAGATAGATAGGTTAGATTAGATTAGATTAGATTATATTATATTAGATTAGATTAGATAGAAAGATAGATAGATAGATAGATTCGATAGATAGATTCGATAGATAGATTAGATTAGATTAGATTAAATTATTTAGATTAGATTAGATTAGATTAGATTCGATAGATAGATAGATAGACAAGATTAGATGAGATTAGATTAGATTACAGTAGATTAGATTAGCTCTCATTTTGATCGGATTAGATTCGATAGATAGATGGATAGATCGATAGATCGATGGATGGATGGATAGATGGATAGATAGATATATATATATATATAAATATATAGATGCATATATATATATATATGTTTAATACACACATAGATATACACACATCTCTCTACATATATTTATGTATAGATAGAAAATATGATATATGTTTATTTGCACGTATTTATTTATACATTTAATAGAAATACATATATATATATATATACATACATAAGCATATACATACATACGCATAAGTATATATATATGTATACATATATAGAGAGATACATTTATATACATATATATATATACATATATATATATAAAATACATGTATATATATATATATATACACAGACAATGATTGCTTGTGGGCTGCTGCCTCCTCCTGCTGCTGTGCTGCTGCCTCCAAGGAGAGGGAAAGGAGTCAGGAGTCAGGGTAAGCATGGGGAGGGAACTGCAAGGAGAGAGAACCGCAAGGACATGCTGGTTGGAATGGAGGACGTTACTCCAACTAAAACAAGAGGAATGGCCGTAAGAACATTTTGAAACCACATCAATTGAACGAGTGCTGCAATGATCGCGGTGCCATGCAGGAAAACCCTTTAGGCATGACTTAGGCGTGACTTTTTGAAACAGCGGTGCCGTGCTGAGAAGCACCGTAGGCATTACTTAGGCATGACTTTTTTTTTTGCCTGTAGTGTGGGCATGGCATGCTGAAATATCAAACGCTATACCTTCCGGTCATTTGACATAGCTTTGGTACATGGTGCCAGTCATAGACGATTTGCCTTTTAACGCAGTGATTTTCCATATGTTAAGTTAATGTCAGGTGACTTGACCATGATCGGTGGAACAATCATCGAACACATGAAAAACATGGAAGTGACCATGATGATCTCCAGCATTAACAACGAACGGAAACATGCCCCTCTCCCCCCGGCCGAAAATACCCCGGGCACCCATCTTGGTGAGATCGCCTGCAGGCGTGGCCTGTGCGGTGAAAAGTTGCGAGTCATCCTGCCACCTGGCGGAGATTGGAACTTTGCGGCGCTGTTCCACATTGTTTGCTGGATTTCATGGAACTGGGAATCTGAAAAACATGCGGAATAAATAAAGAACAGGAAAAACATGGGCCCAGTTTGGGTGTCTCAAAGCGAAGAATCGAGAACTGGTTGGTTCTTTGTTCAATTTTTCATGTCTCTGTAGGGAATTGAATCCAACCACAATCAAACACATAGTGTTTTCTTGCAAAGGTTTGAACAACCGAAGCGTTCAAAATGGGTTGAGTACTTGCTGAGATTTGTTTTTTTGGTGATCTGAATCGCAGAGAATACACAAGCACACATGGGATTATAATGTATACCCAATAAAGTACCTTAAGAGTGCAAAACCATGCAACAACTGGATAGCAAATTGTTGACGGATTCAATGTTTTTAAATGTTTCCATTTTTACTGTACATAGGATGATTGATTCATCACTCTTCATCCCAGAATATTGGCATCGCCTGAATAAGAATGGTGGGATGGGTGGATTACTAACCAAGTTACTGTACATTTGCCATGCTAATTTTGGGATTGTCTCATGGGGTGATGAAAACTCCAGTGCATTCCCAGGCAATGACAGCATGTTTTATCATGGGATCATGGGGTACCTAAGTTTGAGAGCGTCAACATCCACTGGTGACCAGGTTGTTTACAAACGTAGGGAGCATCCAACAAATAGAGTCCGTGGTTCCAAAAATCACAGAAGCGGTGACTTGCGATTCAAATTGATAGGTTACTTATTTTGTGTCAAACTGTCAATCTTGAAATGTTGTGTTGTCTTGAAGATCTGTACGACGTTTATACTACTATGACAGGTCAACCTTCGAGGCTTGAAAACGCGAGGCTAAGCGAAGATTCCGTACCTGGAACCACCCAACTTTTTTTTCCGCCCATTCCTAGATACTCCAGTCACCCAAAGAAATAGGTATTTAACTCCATGATGGTACTACCTTCAAATATTTGTTTACCCATTTTATATTTTCGTAGCTTGAGCGTTTTGGATCGTTTTGGTGCAGTTTGATGTGTGAAGAAACACCGAAACAAATTGCTACGGCCCACATTGAGGCTATCCAGGCCGTGAAAATTTCTATGCAGCCCAGTGTGGCAGATGCTTGCAACAGCACCGCTGCAGAACATGTTCCTGGGCTCATGTTCCACTGACGCAGTCCGTGGGATGATCCGGGTAGCCACGAAGGTTCATTATGAACTAGTCAAGCCTAGCTTTCCAAGATCATCCAAGTAGGCGAAACAATATATAGCAGCTATAGCAGTTGGAAAAGGGGTGTCCATAGGGACTGTGATACGCCTGCAGCAGTGACTCTCAATACAATGTGGAACGCACACACTGGGTGATTTTATGGGATGGTTCACCCTTATAGGCCCCATGGAGATGATATCTTGAAGGTATAGCTGGTACTGTAAGTCCATGTTCTTGTTTGGGTCGCAAACCAGCAGTGTCTCACCTTCCAAACTTACAGTTTCCCATCATTCTCTGTCCCTGGCCAAGGCACTGACCAAGGTACGATTGACGGAAGTACCAAAAGTGTCAGCTCTGGGGATGTGCCAGGCGCTGTCTATGCTCAGCTTCTTGGCGGGGTTCTTGAGGTGGTTACATGATTGACATTGATTGATGCCTTTTTGGTGAAGTGAGGAGTAGTAGTCTTAGGCCATTGGGGCCTTCCCCGGATGATCGAAAGCACCATATTTGGGTTGCAAAACGAGGTAATTAGGAATCACCACCCCAACAGAAATCGACAGTCGTAATTCCGTATCTTTTCTGGTGTGTTTCTATGTACCTATACCCTCCAAATACTTGGAGGGTCTAGGCATCCCCATATTCTTCCCATGGTGGGTCACCCAGGCTGGCTGACTTGGCATCGAAGACCGGCGCCTGGGAGGCAGCGAGCCGGGGTCTTTTTTT